ACTTCCCCAAAAGAGTTCCCCAAGCAGTGCAGGTAATAAACACTTAATATGTCTGGAAAGCTGCAAAATTGCTCAGAGAAATTGAGGCTGCCCCATCTGTGGAAATGTTCCAGGCCAGGTTGGATGATGCTTGGAGCAACCTGGGATAGTGGAAGGTGTCCCTGCCCATGGCAGGGGTGGAATGGGATGGCCTTTAAAGGTCCCTTCCAAAACAAACCATTCTATGAATCTATGAAACGTTACTGTAACACGGGTGAGTCGTCAGAACTCGAATATATTGTGCAGACAGTAAAATTCAAATATTGGAGCTGGACAATACATCCCATTAATTTAACTTCTCTGTTTTCTGTTGTATGGAGAATTATGTGTAAATATATTGCAGTAGTCTCATACCTCTGTGGCAAGATTTATCTTAGGATTTTGTGGGATGCTTTAATGTCTCATGGGATGGTCTGAAGCCTGCAGTTCTTGGATACAAATAGGAATCAGCCAAAAACCTCAGTGCAGTGTTTTGGTAATTCTGAACGAGCAGCATTACATCTCATCTTCTCACCTTTACAGTGATTGTGGCTCCTTTGCTTGGAAAGAAAACAGTGTCCATAGTTCGTAAAGCTGCAAAGTATAAAGGTAACCAGAGTCCTTCTATGTATAGAGATTTAGGTTTTTGTTAGGTTTTAAGATGTTTTCAGTATTTTCATGTAATTGTGTTGAGGACTCAATCTAGCAACCAGATCTCAGATGACATTGTAAAATCTGTGCATGACCATCTCAAATTCTTACACTTTAAAGAAATAATTTCTAAAAAAAAATCCCACAGCTATATGTAATCTATATTACTCAAGATGTCTGCAGACTATGCCAGATGGTCATGGCAAGTGTGATTTTGGAAGGGGGCAGCTGGCTGTACTGGGCAGATAAAATTCCAGCATTAGCAATTAAGCTGTGAGACCAGTAGGAGATATAATCCTGAAAGGAACTGTAATTACTGGTCTAAACTTGTTTAAATAGAAGATATATAGAGGATGAGAAATTTTTTCCCAAGTTCAACAGTACACATCTGTACCTTGAGTTATGCTTAGGAGCTCACACATGGCATCTATGTGTTGCTGAATTGCTTTTAACGTTCTTTCCGATGAAAAATTATATTCTTGTAAGCCTTGTTAATAATTAATACTAAAATCTTCTAGAAGAAACAGTAAACTTGGGATTTATACCTACCCCTAACAATTTGAGATTGGAATGAGTCCTGATGTGCAAAACAAACTCCTTTGTGTTGCTCTAAAGCCTCTACTGCTGCATTATGGAGCCAAGCTCTGGGGCTAAACAGATGCTGGATTTAATAGAGAATGACACTTGCAGACCAGGCTATGATTCTTTGGGGGTGTAATAATACTGAGTTAAACTAAATGAGTTGCTAATAAGTTGTGTCTGTTTGGGTTTTTTTTGGGGGGGGAGAAGGTGTGGGGGGGCAGATAAGTAGATGAACCTTTTGTAAAATCTTATTTTAATGAACCATGCATTTATTTATTAATGTATTTAAAGGAAAAGTAAATCAGATTCATTGGTAATTTACTGCTAGAGTGAGGACTGGCTTTCCTGGAGTGAATTTCCTGTGACTTGGTGTTTATTTGGGCTATCCCACTTTAGGATGTGAGGAAGCAGAAGTTGTTTAACCTTGTTTTTTGCAGTTTCTTTGGGATCCCCTGGAGCAGCCTTTCTGTGCAGTGGAGGCTGTTATGAAATTGAAGGAAAAATCGTGGATAAATAAGTAAATGTTTTAAATACTGCTTAAAGCATACTGTTGTAAATGTGTTCCAAGTACTGATGAACCTTTTATATTATCCAGTAGCTCGAACCTCTACTGTCTTACCCAGCATGCAGGCACAGAAGCAGTGCCTCTTAATCAAAAGCAGTGTGGACGTTTAAGTGGTTACATGTTTTATGTGAGTGATCTTTTCAGCTAAAGGCAGCTTTTTCTAAAAGAAATATTTGATTTGACTGTCATTTAATTTGATATTATTTAGTAGCAGCTGAATTGGAAATGCATTTGAGATCATGACTAGCATGTAATCAGCTAAGTTCAGGCATTGGGGTTAATCTGTTACTGTTGTTAAAATGCTCGGAAATTAAATGTTGATTTTTTTTTTTCTATTTTAAATTATTTTTAGTCATTTTTCCAGTAGGATATTCATGAACTCTGAAGGAGAGACTTGTTTCCTGGGTGATTTGATGGCTGGAGTTCCTCAGAAATGTCTTGCTTATGTAAAGCAGGGCCTATGGTTCAGATTGTAGGAGCTGAAGGTGCTCAGGCTGCATCATGAAGTCATTGCAGAGCGCTTCATCAAGCTTTGGGATAGCACAAGTTCCTGATGGAAAGAGTTAGCTTTGTGTGTCTGTAGGTGTAGTCATCTACAGGAAGGATCAGTACAACTTGCTGAGGTTTTTACTTCAGAGGGATATAGTGAGTGTAATGTACTTAGGAGAGGAAAGAAACCACTTGGGCCATAACAGAGAGAAAAAATCTGTATGTTTGTTTGATTGCTCCAAGATTTGTTGGCTCTCGAATGAGTGGAAGTCAAAGCTCGCCAAGTCTCCTTATCTACAAACTACTGTCAGGTATTTAAAGCTCAAGCAAGCAGGATTATTTTGATATTTGGATGGCTTGATATTTATTTCATTTAGAGGAGAAAATAATCAGCCAGTGCCTTATTTTACTGTCATTTTGGGGAAGGTTTGTGGAATGAAAAATGTTCTCTGCAGTTTGGAGGGAGCCAGCTGGGCATTAGGGCTGGAGGGCTCGCAAGGGGCTCCACAGCTTGTCATGTTGCTTGGGAGCGTGGCTGTGGAACTGGGCATGTTCTTGGGCACTGTGATTTGACAGACTCTGAAAACAGACAATAAAATTTTGCTAAGACTTGCTGTTAAAGCCCTCTTTGTTTTGGATTTTGTCTTAATGGTATTGAACCTGCTGGCATGCCATAGGAAATCTGGACAGCAAGCGTGATTCCTTTTCAAGAATTAGCTTGAAACCTGTTCCAGTTGCTGTCATGTTTCTGGGAAGGTGGTTTAAATGTGAGGGGCTTTGGGAGCTGCGAGCTGTAAGAGCAGATTGTAAATAGAGTGACTCATTTTAGGAGCACAGGCGAAGGGTTTTGGGCACTGTCAGTGCTCTGGCATGGAGAACTCAAGAGTTCCAGGTGAAGGTGGAGGCATTTGAAGGCAGAGCTCCAGCTGCCTCTTGGTTCTCTTCACCATTAGTTGTTTGTCTTGGAGCAAGTAAGCTGGAAAACATGAGCAGAGAATGGGAGCTTGAAACAGACAGAGACTAGACTTGCTTTTTCTCCGAGAAATAAAGGTTTAAATGTAAGGCCTTTAAGTAATTTAAAGGGACAGGGCTTGTGTCAAAATATAGCAACAGCATCATTGTAGGCTTTTGCTGTAGTTAACATGTTGCAAACACGTCAGGTTGGATGGGGCTTGGAGCAACCTGGTCCAGTACAAGGTGTCCCTGCCTGTAGAATCTCCTACAAATAAAATTCAGGAAATAATCACCACAATTTTTTTTTGTTTGTTTTTTTTGTTTTTTGTTTTGTTTTGTTTTGTTTTCTTAGGATTTCACATTTTAAGGATCTCTTTAATATTTTATATTCTACTCTGTGACTGTGCTGGCCCTTTGTTGTTTCTGACATATTTGTGTACTTTGTAGTTGCTCTAAATCTCAAATATGAATTCCATGTTGGCTGCTAATGTTACAGCTTTTTGTTTGTTTCTAGTAAGCTTTCTTCATATTTACACAGTTCTTTATTAGTATTAATTGCTCTTAGAAGTATCTTTTCTGGAAGTAATTGCTACTGCAAAGTTGATGAGTGTAAGAGTATCAGTATGGTCGTGATCCTTGTATCTGATATCTTGTATCTGATACTTTGCATCTGTATCTTTGTAGAAAACGGGGGAAAAGTTGCTGCTGGTTAGTGGCTTACATCTTCTGATACAGCTGTGCCTGTTCTTATGTTTTATGCCAGCTCAGGAGTGAGTATTTAGGTTGCAGTTAATGTTGCACAACACTTTTATCTTGATGGTGATGCCTTTTTTCATACAAACTTTTAAACCAATCAGTCACAGTTATTTTGTCCCAAAAGGTAGAAGTTTATTGAAGTTGATGCCCTGGAAAGATGTGAAGTGCTTGGGATTATACCTGGCACGTAGTTGGTAGCATTGTTTTGGTTCTCTTAGTTAATTAAATTCTTTATAAAAATGAGAAGCAGCATGAAGATTTTAAACCTTCTCATTCCTCACACAGATCAAGTACAACACATATAATAAGAGGGTTTGGAGTGCCAGCTTCTGCAGTGTTCCATGAAAAAGCACTTGTGTTCCTGATGTGTTCATTTTATGGCTCTTTCCCATTGAAGTAGTTGCCTGGAAGGAACCATGTTATTTCGCAGAGGTCAGGAGATTCATGTATGGTCAGCAGTACCTTTGCTTATTTGATAACAGCATGATAAGAGCTGTTAAGGCAGGAACTTTAAAGGTGTAGATCGTTGGTGGCATGCAGAATTAGCTGCATCTTTACAGAAGTAGTAATTTTCTGTCTGCGCATGCTGAGTTTGAAAACATATTTCTGAATAGTATATCAGCTTGGCACCGCCATTAAAATTGTGAATTCTATTCTCGTAGTTTTCCCCACTGCTAGCAGCCTTGTCACTGATATAACTGTGAAGCAGTGTTCTTGCTGAGTATAATTTATTAAAATACAAGTGAGATGATGACTGAAGGAATAGCACAAAAACTTGTATTTTTCTTGAAGAAAAATTGTTGTAGTCCAAAGTCTGTTGAAAGGAAATCTTTCTAATATATTCCTATGTGGCTGATTCCTAAACCTCAGTAATTTTTCAAGGAGGTGATCTAGAACTTTACTGGTGGCTAACTCAGGGTCTGCATATTCCTTATTTGTGCAAAAGACTTAAAATATTTCTTTCTTCTTTTTTTTTTCCTCAAAGAAATGAAAATTTAGAAAAACCTTTGCCAAATAAAGAAGATGGGAGCGAATAGCAGCAGCATCAGTGAGCTTCCAGAAAATGAGTACTTACAGAAACTGTCAGGATCAGAGCCCATCTCTGAGAATGACCCGTTCTGGAATCAGCTTCTGTCTTTTAGCTTCACCACTCCAACAAACAGGTAAGAGGGTGTTGGAGAGCTGGCTTTGATAATATGTTTATAGAAGTGACCAGTCTGAAAGCAAATGAGTGGTTATGTTAATTATTCCTGTTTTAGGTAGCAGAGGAATAAATGCCTGTGTAAAATAGACTGTTGTCTCTAAGTTTGGAAGCGTTTTCCACCACCTCTTCCATTCCTGTGGGTTTCTTTCTTCTTCATAATAGCAGTAATTGCTACTCATTCTCCTGGTAAAGATCAGAAATAGGGTCTGTAGTGTTGGGGGAGCCTTTTTTCCTTGTTGTTTTAGGAAGCTTTCTTTTCCTTTGGTATAGCCTTTGGGTTGACTGGAGATTCCAACATTTGATGTTTCCTCTCAATTTAGAGTGAATTGTACTTCTTGCATGATTTAATTGTAGGTCAGCTTTTGAGTTGCTTAGTCTGTATGGCTTTTTTTCACCTTCTTTGCATCTTAAAAAGAAATTTGGTGTGTATTCTCCATAAAAATATTTTCTGAATACCTAAAAGCTTTGAATGCCTTTTCATTCCAGAAGGTGGTGTAGGTATAAATAAAATCAGTATTTTTTAGAGGATCCATAGCACATCTCCAGAAGTAGAGAATTTAAGTTCTTGTAACTTCTATTAGCCCAACTCCATTGCTAAATTCCTTGGCCTGTGTGTAGATTATCAGTTTTACAAGAACAATCTGATATTAATATCTTCAGGTGTTACTTAAACTATTTTTACAGTTTTCAGCATAAAACTGGTGCTTCTCTGCAAGTGAAAGTTCAGGCAACTGGAATGGAAAATGGTTAAGGTTAATAACTGGGAAGCATTTACTAGGTGCTATTTTTGTAAAGAGTGAGGAGGAGGAGGAGGAAGTATTTTGGCTTCTGCCTGGAGAGAATAGCCAGAGGTTTGGAAGAAGGGACAGTGTTGTGGAGGGCTGTAAAGCTGGTAAAGGGCAGTACGGAATTGGGAGTGTGCAAACAAGCAGTTGTGTTTCCTCTAAGATCCCTCAAGACAAGATTTATTTACAGCCTACCCATGACTAATAAGATTGACAGTAAAAACTTATATAATACTCTGTTGTTTGGATAAATAATAATTGCATATAAAACCCCACCAATTTCTTTTGGTTGTTCTATTTTTCTTCGTTCCCCCATGCAAGTTAAGGAGTTTCTCTTAGCTTGTTTTGCAGCTTTTTTGTGCCTGTTTCATGAAATTCAGATCCAGTGTAGAGTTTGCTAAATTTGCTAAATTTGCTAAAAAACCCCCTCAAAACAGCAAAGCAAAAATGTAACCAAACAAAAAAACCTCAAGCAAGAAACATAGTTAAAAAGACAAGAAGTCAAATAAAATGATCCAAATGCAGGTTGAATGTTTTAATTAGCTGAACACCAGATGGTGCTCTTGCCTGGGAGCTAGAGAAGAAATATTTTTAGAGACATCTTTTCTGCAGCTTAGTATTGGAAGGAAACAGAAATTTCTCATTTAGCTGCATCTACCTGAGACAACCACTGGCAAGTGAAATTGGAATATGTTGGCTGCACAGCACCCTCAGCATTTGTCTATATCAGATAACCTTGCCTGCAGGAATGGAACAATAGAGGTCAATGTCAATTTCTGAGATTGAAATCTTCCAAATTACCAAGTTAACTCTTTTTTTAATGAGGCTTAAGTGTCAGGAGCAAGATGCTTGTTTGTGATTTGTGGAAAGGAGCCAGTTTTCACCTGTCATACAGGACAGAGTTTTACAGTTTTCTTCTCTTTTTAAATTCACTTTTTCTGGTTTGTTGCAAAACTAGTGACTGTTTGCAAGTATTATTTGGAGCAGTTAAAGCGTTTTGTGTTTTTTTTTTTTTCTGGAGGCAGTTGGTGATACTTCAGAGTAAAAGATCCGTTTCCTGAAGTTTTTGCAAAGATGGGACTGATGCGATCCCCAGGGAGAAGAGGGCTGTCTTCTCTGGGTGCTGCTTTGGATGTAATTCTGTCCTACATATGTCAGTACCATAGGGGAGGAGGCAGAGAAAATCATTAGAAGAGAATGTGGTAGACAAGTTCATGTTGGTAGGAAAAGCAATCAGCCAAATTATCCAAACAAAAACCAGCAAGGTGGGGAAATGGTGGGGCTGGGGTAGATTTACTCCTTTCAGCAACAGATGCCCAACAAATTCCCCTTGTTGTCAAGAGGCATTGGCCATAGCAAGGAAACAGTATCTGCAAAGAAGGATTCCAAAGGAAATCTGAATTAGTGTGTGTAAGAAAGTTTGTGGGGTTTTTAACACTTTTCCATGTATGCTTTTTCTAGTTAGGAACTTGTGACTAGTGCTTTGCTTTACAGAAGCTGTTCCAAGTTAGTCCAGGTGCGGTAGATCCCAGGTGTCAAACAGGGCTGGATCTTTTGTGGAACAGTAGCCTTTGTGATTTGGCTTGAGATATGGGGAATGACTGTTTTGTTACCTCAAGAAACATGAAGACATGATACCAGATCTTAAAATAGCACCACTTTCTGCGCTCTGCTTATGCTTTGTGTGTCTTGGCACTTTTTATTTCTTTATTTGTCCTTGTTTGCTTTTCTCTCTTTCCCCTTTCAGTTTGGTTGATCTCTTCCTCCTTTTATCCATGTCTCATCTTCATGGTTCTCTTTTTTGGTTGTTTTTTTTTTTTTTTTGACCTCTACCTGACTGAATGTGTTAATTTCTCTTTTTCTGGTTCCATGTGAAATAGTTTAGCATTGCTCATTTCCTCAGCCATGCCTTTCTTTCCTGGGTTTTATTTTTTCAGTCCTGTTGACTTTTTGGTCTGTTTCTGTGAAGAACTTAAGGTAGTTTTCTATATGGAATAGTTTGTTTCTGTATGGGAAAGTGTGCCAAATACCAGTGCTGCTGACTGCGAAGTTGCTGTATCTCTGTCAGCATTGATGCAAGATGCTCTTGCCCTTTTACTATCTCTTCCAGTGTTTATATTGTTCTTCTGTAAGTTTAATTAGGAGCTAATCTATCTGGAAAACATAGCAGAAGTGTTTATTTTTTCAGCCAAGATAATTCCCTGCAATGATTCATAGCTTGGCACCACAAAACAGTTCTGGCAGGATGAGGGATTGATTTTTTGGGGCACAGCAGCCTATTGAGGTAAAAAGTGGGATTGCTTAAACCTGCTTTGCCATCCAAAAATGAACAGGAGAGTGTGATCAAAGCAGAGCTTGCTCCGAGGAGTCTAATATACTGCCTTTCTGGGCTGCTTGTTCTTCCTCTCATACTGTTGATTTTCTTAATAATTAGGCAAGTATTGAGAGAGACTATCAGCTGTAAGTAATCAGAAATGAGCTGATGGTGAATCCCTGCTCGCTGCCTGTGACTCCCCTGGCATGAGTGAGTAGTAACAGCCAGAGCCAGCCTGGGTTTCTGGCACATAAAGAAAGCCACTGGGCCTTTCACAGCCTAGGAGTGGGAGCAGATAAGTGGTGCAAACATAAATAGCAGTCCAAGGAACCAGCTTCCAGCAGTTTAGTTTTAGGTTGCCTCACACTTTTCACTGTAAAAGGTTTATTGCGATATCATCTTCCATAAAGCAAATCATGCGTGCTAAGCAGGTACTGCTGAAGTGTCTGCTGAGGCATTTCTGGTTTCAGCCATTAGGAAGTACTTGGTACTCCAATTTCACACTCCTGCATATTCCTGTCTTTTTTTTCCTTCATAGGTTTTTATTTGTTGCACAGAATGGACTTGTGGGACCTGAATTAAAATCTGTATAAATCTTCCACTTCTATACTTTAGGTGACTACCCTATCAGTCCAATAGTGTTGGTTATTGCAAAAATTAAATACAGCTTCTCTGGATGATTTTTTTAGTTTTTTTAGTTACTGTCAGGATTAAGAGCTATGACGTTTGCTTTGGAGTGGTAGCTCTCAGTCTAGGCAGACTTTGTGTTTGTCTGGATTTTCTGTGATTTGCTACCAAGAATGCAGCCTCTTCCTTAGTGGTGGTATTAGTTACAATTATTTTCTGATGGAAAACTTAAAGTTAACTAAAGCAGAACTTGCTGAAAATCATGTGCTTAATATTTACTGTTCTGCTTTGTTCCTTCCCCAGAGTTATAAATGAGTTGGTGGTTCAAGAATAATGTGCACGGGCCTTTAATGGAAAAACATAGAGATGGGAAGCTTTTATGTTTCCTTAACATGGTACATTTTTTAAATGGTACAATAAATCATATGCTGCCTTATTCTCTTTGATGTCTGTCCTCCAACTACGCCTTTAAAATCAGCATTCCCACAGTAAGAATTTAGTCAATGGGCTGGTTCTTCTGTGTTCTGTTCAATGGCAAAGAAAAAAGGCCTTACTGTCAGGAAAGCTGCTTGTTTTGTTTCTTCCCCCCTCCTTTTTTAGAGGGGTACTTGTCTGCTTTGTTTTGGGTCTTTTTCTTACCATGCTAAGGGCAGGTGTTGTGATGTGAATATGTTTCTAATTGCAGCTTTTAGGCAGAATGCTTTCTCTTGCTATGTGGAGATACTTTAAGAGAAGCCACTTCAATTTTGAAACATCTTCTATTGTGGTGCTGTTAAAAGAAAAGCTGATAAAACCACATTCTTCAAAGTTGGCTGCTGCCAGGAAACAACCTTCACTGTCTTAATAATTATGGTTTTGCTGAAGACTGATTGTTAGTGAATTTAAAGTAAGACAGCTGAATTCAACCATTTAAAAATAATCCTATTTATAATGCCACTGTTTTGGGGGTTTTTCCTTTTCCTTTTTTTCCCTTCCTTTTTTTTTTGAAGTAATATTTTTACAAAAACATCCTGCTGACTGCAGGATCCTGCTTTTTGGTTGTAAGAAGCCAGAAATAAAAATACAGAGTCTTTGAAAATGATGAAATTTTATTGATTAATTGACTGCTCAATTTGCCATTCCTTCCCATCTCTACTGAAAAGAGGTTTTCTTACAGAAAACTAACTTCCTGATGGAGAAACTCTGCACTGTGATGAGTGATTGCAAACACAAAGTGATTAAATCCCAAAGAAATAATGATTATCCTTGATTACTCTATTTTCACCACTGATGTGTGATAGCTGTGGTCACACAATTGCTGCCTGTGTCTGGAGCAGCTTTTAGTGACAATTGGTATGGAAAATATTCTTATTACATAGTGTTAAGATGTTACAGAAAATAATCACTGCCACTGTAAAACCTCTCCTGTTTGGATACCTTTAAAATAAACAAAGACAAACCAATTTTCTTAAAACATGGCTGTGCTGTCAAGGAAGCAAATTTCACTATTATTAACTTTAGTTTTGCTGAAGTCTGTGGGCTTATACTCTACATAAAAGAAAAGCAAATAAAATAATTTTTTTTTTCTTTTAAGTACTTTGAAAATGCTGGCCATCAGATCACAGCATGAGGGAGGAACTCCTGTGAAGCCTGGAATTTTTTCCTAGAGTGTGTGGGAAGCAACCGTGCACCTCACAAATTTGCTTGTATCCAAGTGAGCCAGTAAAGTCGGTATAGTTAAGAATATTCTGATTTGAATCTATTCTGTTTGCCCCCTGTGTTCACAGCCTGTTTGAATCCCCGCATCAGGTGGTACCTTTTGTTCATTTCTTGGAAAACCGTGGAACTGGTGAATATGTAAATATGTACTGCTCTGTGGAAGCGAGGTTGTTCAGTGCAGGTTGTGCCAGTTGAAGTACATGTGCAAACTCACCTAGGTCACTGTGATCCTGCTGTTAAAGGCCCGTGGCTTGAAGTTGGTGTCACAGAAGCCCAGAACAGTTTGAGTTGGAAGGGATCTTGAAAATCATCCCATTCCACACCCCTGCCATGGGCAGGGACAGCTTCCAGTGTCCCAGGTTGCTCCAGGCCTTGTCCAACCTGGCCTTGGACACTTGCAGAGATAGGGCAGCCACAGCTCTTGTGGGCAACCTGTGCAAGGGCCCTACCTCCCTCAGAGTTTGTTCCCTATGCATGTGACTAGTTTCCATAGAGGTGTCTTGTCCAGGGCAGAGCTTCCTGGATGTTACTGGAGTGCCTGGGTTTCTTGCTGATGCTCAGCAGAGCCATCAAGCAGCAGGCAGAGTTGACTGTTCATACTCACTGCCTGTTTGTTACTAGCAATAGATAATCTGTTTCACATTGTGAATATACCAAATGTTTGTCATAGAGCAGGGAATATTTTACACTCCATCATTAACAAATCTGTCCTTTACTTCTATGTGTTCTAACCTATGTCACCAAATGCTACATCCACATCGCTTTTAAATCCCTCCCATGATGGCAACTCCACCACTGCTCTGTGCCAGAGCTGGACACTCCTTTCCATGAAGAAATTTTCCCCAATATCCACCCTGAGCCTCCCCTGGCCCAGCCTGAGGCCGTTCCCTCTGCTCCTGTCCCTGTTCCCTGGGAGCACAGCCCGATCCCCCCGGCTGTCCCCTCCTGTCAGGAGCTGTGCAGAGCCACAAGGGCCCCCCTGAGCCTCCTTTGCTCCAGGCTCAGCCCCTGCCCAGCTCCCTCAGCCTCTCCTCATCAGACTTGTGCTCCAGATATGTATTTGACAACAGGGCAGTCCGTATTCCTCCGGTGAGAGTTTCAATTCAGAGGGAATTGGAACTTTTATGTGATCAGTGCAGTGAAGCTTCACTTTATCAGTCCTTGCTCTTGTTAGGGCTGAAATACAAATAAGTAAGTACTTATTAGCAGTGTTCTCTGTGGCTTAATGAAAGGACAGATGTTTCAGTGTTGAGTTTCCATTTTTACATTCATCCATTAACCAGCTGTTATTTCCACAGGGACTGTAGAGAAAGGTTGGTACCACAGTTGGTTGAACTGTTTCTTTTGTGCCACCTTGTGAATCTTAGCTCTGGCATCTTCTGCCCAAATCTTAATGTAATTACCTTCTGTCTCTTCACTGCACAAGAAAATACTCAGGCAGCTTTTTTCCATGTCTCTCACTTCTCTTTCCTGCCCAATCAAAGGAGAGAAAGTCACTGCTAAGTTTGGCCCATGGTACTTAGGAATGAGCTGCTATTTTTTTGTACCCCTCCACAATACTGTCTCCATGAGTCCATCCCTGGGGATGCATTTCAGTGGTGTCTGTCTATTGGGGGGGTATTTCTGCTGTAATTCCCCCTCACTAGGTGTTTCGTTTGAGTGAACTGAAATTTTACAGTAGTTGTTGCCTCATCTTGAGCGTGGCAAAATTCACTTTTGTGTTCTTGTTGTATGAACAAGAGGCAGTGGGCTGTAGTTAATTTTTAAGCGTTAAACTTCATTTTAGTATGAAAAAGAATTACTGGAGTGTTAAAAGCTTTGCTGAAGATCTGAAAGCCTTGCTTGCTTTGCCACTGTTTTTGATCCTGGCAACTTGTAGAAACCAAACAACTCTGTGGAATTTTTTTGAGGACTCTGTGTGGGTTTTAATAACTCAAAAGAGAAGAAAAAAAAATCTGTAAGAATGCTGTACTTTGAAACCTAACCTTACAAATTAGGGAGAAAATGAACCATAATTCAAAAGCTGAATGTCTGCATTTAGGGTTTAAATCCTGGAGCAATTACCATTCTGACTGTGTCCCCAGGATCTTTGGATAGTGGGAGGGGTCATGTTCTGTTACATTATGAGTTTTCAGTACCTAAAACTCTCTACTGAGTTGTTGTCCATTGTAATATTCACCCTCCCTGCCTGCCAGGGCTTGGGAAGGAATAAATCCTGATGACAAGCAGCCAGCTGGGCAAATTTAGAAGTTTTTGTTTTCTTAAAAAGTGTAAGGTCACATAGACCTAGAAAACTGTGTTGTCCATAGTTCCTGGTGGCGTGCTGGTGGTTCTTGCTCAATACCATTTGTTTTTAATTACTCTGCATATTTGTAGTGCTGGAACAAGAGACCACCTTTGAGACCAAGCCTAATGTTTTTAAAGTATATATCAAAGTGTAAGTTTGTTCTTTCTGAATCTTGTGTTTCAAAGCAGTTTGTAAGAGAACAATGAATGCTGGTAATTGATATCAGGACAAGCCAATCTGCGTAATCTAAAGTTGTCTTAGGATATTCAGCTGTAGGTGAAGAGCTGTCTCAGCTGTCAGCTCACTGCACAGTAAATTAGTCTGATATACAATAAAATTTGCAGGCATCTTAAAACTTAATTTGATGTCTCTCTCTTGAATAATTTCCTGTTGAAGGGTTTTGAAATAATTTTTTTGACTGCTCTTTTTACAGTATCTTCTAGTCCTCATGGGTTGGGGAACAGCTCAAACTCCACAGCTTCCAAGACCATGGCTCCACAGGGTTTTCAGCACTGGAGCTTGTTAAGCAGCTTCCCACACAGCACCACTGATAATCTCAGGTTGATGCAACAGTGCTGTAAACTGGATTACCATGTAAATTTAAAAAGGATTGTGTTATGATTGCAAGCATTGAACTAAATTTTTTGACCATCCTTTAATTTTTTGAACTTCAGAAGTCCCTGAAGGTACAGGCTATATGTTCAGTCTGTGTAGAGGCTCTACCATCTCTTCAAAACACTGAGCAGTAGATATGATATGCTCATATGTTCATGATGTGAGCAGTTCATGATATGACAAGAGGCGATCTTTTAAACTAGAAGAGGGTGGATTCAGACAAGATAGAAGGAAAAAATTGTAATGATCAGAGTGGTGGAACAGGGTGTCCTTTAGTTATTAATATTCATATTGCTCAGTGAGACATTGAACACAGTATCTGATGGTTTGTCTTGTTTTCCCATCTGTTAAGGATGCTTTTGAAGATCAGTTGCCCTGCACTGGTAGGTCAGAAGTACGTGGCTGACGCAGCTGATGTGGTTTCAGTGGTTGCTGTCAGGTTTTGCTTTAGTGCTTTATTGTTCTTTTCAGATAATGTTTTTCTGAGGCGTATCACGAGGCAATTAATGAAGTTAGGAACAATTTGCTGCATCTGATGTGATTGTTGTGCTAGTATAATAACATTGGTTAAAAGGAAAGAGCTGGTTAGCTTGAGGTTAAATGTCAGATTGAGGTTTCTTTTATTCATGTTTTTAAAAGTGCGTCATTTCATGTGAAATTTCTTGTAAAAAAGTTCAAGTTCTTTCTGTAGGCTGCTGTTCTGTTTGTATTTTTGGTAACACCAAACTGAGCATGGCAGCACTGAAGCTGCAAAACTAGCAGTAATAAAATGCACATGGAATCACAGAATCGTTTAGGTTGGAAAAGCTCACAAAGACCGTGGGGTCCAACCATTCCCCAGCACTGCCATGGCCACCACTGACTCCTATCCCCAGGTGCCACAACTGCACAGCTTTTAAACCTCTCCAGAGACAGGGATTCCACCACTGCCCTGGGCAGCTGTGCCAGGTCTGGACAACCCTTTCCATGGAGGGATTTTCCCCAATATCCAACCTAAATCTCCCTTTGCACAGCTTGAGGACATTTTCTCTCCTGCTGTCCCTTGTTCCCTGGGAGAAAACACTGACATAATTTCACTCTGATAGACATTTCACTTCTGAATATTAGTTTCCTTTTTTATAGTTGCTGTGCTTCGAAAGAATATTGCATTGCCTGATGTTGGGATGACAGAGCATTGGAATGAGTTGCTCAGAGAGCTTGTGGGGATACTCAAAAGCCACCTGGACACAGTCAGGGGCTGCTGGCTCTAAGAGATCCTGCTTGAGCAGGGAGGTTGGACAAACTGACCTCAACAAGCTAATGGATGGCTAAAATTAAGTGCTTCATAGAAAGATTTTATTACTGTTTTGTAATGAATTTTCACTTCAAGTAAAGGAACCCAATTGCTTGTGTAACCAGTTTTGTTTTCTTTTCCTCTTACCTAGTGCTGATTTAAAGCTCTTGGAAGAAGCCACAATCTCTGTCTGCAAGTCTTTAGGTGAGATGTTCTACCATCTTTTTTCCATGTACTTTACCAGAAAAATTGGGAAACAGCATCCCTGTGCACATTCATGCCTTTATCATTCTATTTGTATATGTTGCCCTATTAAAATTAAAGCAGTGTAAAGAGTGTGTTTTTGTGTACCCCAAACCTTTACTTCCGTTGTTAATTCTTTTACAGAACTTGATATGACTGCAAGGTTTAAAACAAATATTTCCATCTCTGCTATGTCTTCTTCCCTTTGCCCTTTAAGCTGATCAGTAAGGGGAAGGAATTAGAAGATGAGAGGAAGGGGTGATATAAGTGTGATCAGTGGTGTTGCGAAAAAGTGGAAGGTAGTTGTGAAGACCTGTCCAGTTTTCTGATGGGAGGCAGTTGTGCTGCAGACAGGTATGGGAAAGGAACAGTTTGAGTATGAGTATCCCATGTTTGGGATATTTTAAATCTAGAATTAATGGTATTTAGAGAACAATTTTAAACTAGTAAAACATGTACTAGAGAATCTTAAAAGAAGAATGCCTGTACAGAAAACCAAGACATACTGTGCTTTATTTAGAAATATTTGAGACATTGCTTTTGATTTTTTTTTTTCTAAATGTTATTTGAACTAGACACAACTATATGTGTCAGTTTATGCTTACTTTGTAATTTTAACATTTTTTTTTCCTCACCTAGTTGAGAAGAATCCTCGAACAGGAAACCTTGGATCATTGATTAAAGTCTTTCTTTCTAGAACCAAAGAGTTAAAAATTTCAGCAGAATGCCAGAAGTAAGTTCTCAGAAAAAAGCTGTGTGTGCCATTTAATTTTTTAGGTGTTCCTTTTGTTGCTAGCTCTTGAATTTTTCTACACGGCTAATTAACACGTTCACAGACCAAACCTTAGAATTCTCTTAAACTGCTGTTTGAAACAGAACAAGTGTCTAGTACTTCTCTAAACACAGAAATTAAGTGTAATAGGTAAGTAGATTACTGGGCAAAAATCCATACTTGTATGTTAGATGAACACATTTTTATATGAATGGTGTAAGATGTGGGTACTACTGCCTTAGAGATCTTTAAAAATTATCTGAACTTTTAAGCTGAACTTAAGGTATGAGCCAGTATTCTATCTTGGAAATATTTTAAATATCTATATCTATGAATATGTAAATATCAAAATACTGCTTTCAAGTTATGTCATGCAGCTGCTGTTGATTTTGTTTGCTCCTTTCAGCAGTAGGAGAGAACTCCCAATAGGTCACTTGTGCAGCACTGTGGACTTTTTTTTGGAGGAGGCTTTATGTAGTTGTTCTCTCACACCCACGGATAAATGTCCCATTTTCATCAGATCTGGGGCTGGAATTACTCCTTGCTCCCATGACTCCCATCAAGTTTTTTGCTTGCATCTAAAGTAAGAAGTTACTTGTGCCCAGATAGCTGTTGCTGTTTTAATCCTAAAATACCTTGAAAGTACAGCTTTTGGCAATAATTGACTCTGTGCTGCTGCATGGGATCCCCAGCAGGGCTTACTGGGGCTCAAAAAATTTTTATGCAGCTGTATTTCCCTTTCATTCAGAGAGCTTGGAAAATATTTGTGTGTATTGCATAAGAAAATTGTGCTGTATGGTGCTCATGAAGTCCATAAATGCCTCCTGTCACCTGAAAGCTGTTCACCTGGGAAAAGGGCTAAGGTTCAGGGAGCCAGGAAACTTTCAGGTCTGAACCTGCTGGAAGTTTTCAAATGTCTGTGTGCTTTGAGTCCATAGTGTCTAGAGACCTCTAGAAATTTGCTGAACTGTTTGGTGAGTTTCTCAAAGAGTTCTGTCTACTGTGGTGTTTTTAATGGCACAAATGTAGTTAGGGATAAGGTTGTATTTTCTGAACTACTTTTGAATACATTCCCATTGTATTTTCTCTAACATCAACTGCAGACTCCCTGCTTAAACACTTTTCCTTGCTTCAGCTGTAGAACTTTGTCTACTTGGACATTTATTTTCTTGTGGCTTTTGATGCATGTTTGCTGGTGGAGTGTTACTGATTCTTGTTTGTTCTTTTCTAGCCACCTCTTTATCTGGCAGGCTCACAATGCACTGTTCATTATTTGCTGTTTGCTGAAAGTATTCATCAGTCGAATGTCAGAAGAGGAGCTGCAACTTCATTTTACTTATGAAGAGAAAGCAGGACCAAGCTCTTATGGTGGGTACACACAAGTGCAAGTGAAACATCATCCCATGAGAAACTTAAATGTCTGATGTTTGTAGATGTGGCACGTAGGGACATGGTTTAGTGCTGGACTAGTGAGTTACATTAATGGTTGTACTTGATCTTAAGGGTCTTTTCTCTCAGGTGCTTTAGGTCTAAATACCTTTATGATTCTATGTTTTTTAGACTCAGAATCCCAAACTTTGCTTTAAAACCAGAAATTAAGTGCTAGAGAGTTCGATTTAGCTTAATCTGGCTTTTTTTGAACAGTTGTTGAGATGTGGTGCTGTAGATCAGCCTGAACTTTAGTGATTTTCAAACAGTTTGAAAAGTGATAATGGTCCTCTTCAGAGGAATTGAGGTGAAGGTGGCAATGAATGAACATTGGAACATTGATATTGCAATTTAATGCATCTTTTCACATATTTTTTATAAACAAACAGCAGCCACAGAGTGGAATTAGTGCTATTTTTAGAGATCTAGTGAAGGAAAGTAACTGTCCTATGGTTGGAATTGACCCCTTGAGAGAGCACCTGCTAAAATTTAGTTTGGGGACAATAGCTTATACAGAATTTAGGCAGAATTACTAAGATGGGCTGATGTCCAGGAAATGGAGTGTGTATTATGCAAGATGGAAGGTGGCAGAAGAGATGCTCAAGGAAGCTGTTGTCTTTGAACAAGAATAATAGAAATGCATTCAAAATCAGTGGCACTGTCTGCCACAAATCTTGGTGTAGCCCTGTATCAAGATGCTCTCATGAAGTGCCTGATGGATAATGCTGCCATGGGAGCCTTGATTTCTTTTGCTTTGTGGTAAATCATGGAATCATTTTGGCTGGAAAAGCCTGCTAAGATCATCAAGTCAACCCAGCAACTGCCAAGTCCAAGTCAAAGTACTGTTCAGTGTTTAATTGCATGTTGCATGAAGCCCAAAAAGTCTCAGAATGCTGGAGCAGAGTGAGTGGATGGTGTGAGAGCAACCAAGAGTGTCTGACTGTGGATTTCCTGCAAGGAGGACACGTGTTGAGAGCACTGAGTTGCTGCTTGCTCATCCAGCAGTGAAAACTGTTCATTAAAATCTGTTTAACTCCTTGGCTCCTGCCAGTGCTCTGGGGAAATCAGAACTGTGGTGCCAAAGGATTAAGTGCTACATGTTGAAATGGTTTAATGTATTTAAACTGTGATGAGTGATCTCTAGGAGGGAAGTCAGCTCACTGATGCACTGGAAAGGAGTATCTGCTTGTGTATAAGCTATCTCTGCAGACTGCCTGTGGGTTTATTCTTGGATTAAAGAAATGGCTCACCTCTTGCTTCAGTGTGCAGCATGCCACAGTGGAATGGGTGGAAAAGCTGAGAGTTTTGTCAGCTGGAACCTCTGTGATCCTTATTTCTTGCACTGGGAGTTCCTTGCAGTGTGGTATGGAAAGTGATTCTTGTCACCAGGGTAGACCCATGCTTATACCATGTCTAGTAGCACTTGACTGTAATTCACAGTGACATTTATTAGCAATAATTCTGTGCATATTGATGGCAAATGTACTTAGCAATTACCTCTGAGCAGATTGTACATGGGATGTTGTTGATTAGGAAAGTAATTGTGTGTGGTCTGCTGGTGAGGCAGGAAATGAGCTGCTCCTTGGCTCCTCTTTGGGTTTCCAGTTGGAGATGATTCCTGTGAACTTCCTCAGGGTGTTGAGGTTCATAACATGCTGAAGTTACATAGCCATTGGGTTTGAGTCCTAAAAATCTTACTTTTAAATATCTACAGAAGGTGGTAATAAGGCTTACGCTCAGCTATAGGAAGATGAAGTATCATGAAGGAATTGTAATGAACTGTTGTTGTGCTAGGGCCTGTTAAAAGTAAGCAGAAGAAAATGAAGTGGTTTGTTGTTTGTATTTTTATAATTAAGTGTTGCTTTCTTGAATTTTTGATGTCTACTTTTTGGAAAATAGAATATTCCTGTTATTGTTATATATTTTTATTATAAAATTATTAATCTATTATTAGAATATTATTGTTCCTATATTGCTCCTAATTTTACATACATTTATTAGCACTTTTATGGAAATTTTACTGTCTTTGGTGAACAGGCTTCTTAAAAATTAAGTTCTTAGTCATCCATACTATTTTTTCATTTACCAGAGCTTGGCATTATTTATAATTCTTCAATTGTGAGGATAAAACAAAGCCTTATGAAAGACATTGTTATATGAACTGTTTGATGTAAATAAAATATCCAAATTAAAAGAAGTTTTAATACCATGTCTGAATTTTGAAGTTTCTGTATTTCCTTACTGCCTGGTCAGTAGTCATTGTAAAGAACAGTGCGATCACCCAACAACACAAACAACCTTTCTACCCTGTGGTCCATTTTCATATGCTTTGTTCAGTCTCTTAGCCTTCTGAGAAAAGGTTATTGTTCCTTCAAGGATCATCTCACAAATCCTTTGGAAATCACTCTGCGGTGGTGTTTGTTTCTCTATGAACATCATATTTTTATCCTTCTGACTGGACAATATCTTCTGGTGCCATGCTCTCTGATTTAAGTACAGAACCTGGGAGCTCATAGCACATAACTGCAGTGTCAGCACGTCAGGATGCTCACACTGCAGTCAGCACCTGCTCTGGGATATTTGGTGTGTCAGAGAGAAGTGTATAATTATAATCTGTGAGAGTTCTGTGTATCCCTGTCACTGACTGCTCAGAAATATAGACTATATATGACATAGTCACGATTGTTCAGGTAGCAAGTTTCATATTTGCCTTATCTCAGATTTTGCAGTTCATATGCTTTCACTTTTTCTGAATGTCCAGTTCATACCTTTTCCTGCTGCACTGTGCTTGAGGCTCAGAAGAAAGCTGTGCAACCTTGCTTTGTGTCATAAAATGGGATTTTTTTGAAGCCTGAGTCCATGGGTGTACTTTAGCCTAACAAATAAATTGCCCTGAGTTGAGTTGCTGCTAATAGTGCTGTTATTGATTTCCTTCAAAAGAAGGCCTACCATTAACAGAAATGTGTTCTTTTTGAGGAGTTTCAGATGGTGCAGCCTTCGCCTCTTCATCCGTAACTGGAATTTGCTTATAATTTTGGAGAATATTTCAGAATTTTGATTGCAGGAAAATCCACAGAGAGACTAAACCCATATACTTTAAGATTCAACTTAAAATGTCCTGATATCAATAAATCCCAAACTGGAGTCAGCATCTCTTCAGCTGAAGTTGGAGTTAGTCTCACTAACACAAATCATTCATCTTTCCAATGTCTGTATCCTGTAATTTCTGCATTCCTTAACTGTAGTGACTCAAAGGTGCAAGAGAGCACATGCTGAGTATTTTAGTTTAAATCAGGCTATTGATTCGTTTAACCTGTTCCCTGAGCTGTAGTAGGAAGCTTTATTCATTATCTATAGAGGAATTTTTAAACACAAGGCTACTAAGGGCTGTTTGTGACATATTAAAGCAAGTACGAGGATATAGAGAAGGGGATAAATAAAAAGACATTTACTGCAAGCCTTAAATGATTTCATGCATGTTCAGCTATCACATAAAGGAAATGAGGGAAGGCAATCAATTTATGTACTCATTATTATCAGGCAGAAGTTGTAAGTTTTTAAAAGTAATTAGAGCTGAAGACCAAGCCACAAAACCTGTGGAACCTCTAAGTCTGTTTTGCAAGGAATTATTTATTTCATTACTTGTGTTCAGGTTCTGTATGAGCAACAGGGCAGAAAAACAAGTAGCATTTAAGGTGAGGATGTACCTTGTTATGCCTGAATATCTTACTGATCAGATAAGATATTCAAGCATCCACCAGATCAGGTCTTATCAATGTAGTAGTTAGGTTCTTGAGAAGATGGAGCTGAACTGTTTTAGAACTGGGGCCTCCTGGCATCACTGCTTTCATCTTCATAAGCCATTTGACCTGTGTAGTGTGTGCTAATCCAGTGTCTGTAATGTGGGTAACTGAAAAAGTAAAAACAAATGAAAATAATTGCATTATAAAAAAATGTTAACAAGGTATATAAATATATACATGTATATATATAAATATATATATTTACCAAATCTGAAACAAACAAACCCCACCAAAAAGTCAAAATCTATAAAATTTCTTGCAAAATTAAATAATCCATGTTTGAGGACTTAAATACAGCTGATGAAAAAAATGGTGCTTCAGCATGACTGGACATTTTGAAACCTGTGTAATTGCTGTCACTTCTGCAGTGCAGTTTGGAAGATACACCTATGATTTCTTCTCCTTGCTCTAATTTTATCTGGACAGGTTCACCCTGTACTTACTTTCCCCAAGGTTTTACAGGTCTTTGATCCAAGTATGTGATCTATTAATGTGAATGACTCTTGTGTGTATTGTCTTTATCCTGCTATTGAAAGAGGCATTGTTTATGAAAACACAGAGTGTTCCGTGTTGATGGCTCTCTCTCACGTTATAGATTTGGCTTGCATCCTCTTCATTGTCTTGGCAAGATGAAAATTAAACAAGAATGTGTGTGCCCCAATTGGGAAAAGGATACATTAATTACTGTAGCTGAATGACATTGATTACAGCAATTAAGTTGTTTTTTTGTTTTTTTTTAAATAACATCTTTCATTCTATGTGACTGTGCTAACCCAGTGTTTTCTTCCTTTATTTTGAATATTGTCTTGAGAGAAAAGCCTTCTTTCATATTCAAATAACCTTATTCTCTGTTCATATAAGTTGTGCATGCAGTGTGGTGGAAAAATTTATGTTTTAAAAATGCATTCACTTTACTTTTTTAACCTTTTTCTTCTCACTTTCTTCTGTTGGGAGAAAAATTAGGTACCTGTTGGGAACTAGTAGCAGTCTTGCTTTATAAGCATTTTCTAGGTTCAGAAAGCCTTAGGAAAATGTCACATTCAAGTTACTTCAGAATATACTATCTGTGCTCCATTATTGGCTGTGGTTTCTGTCCGAGGTTAAATACTCTGAGCAGTTCTTGGTTTTACTAACAGGAGCTGCATTGTGTTACTCATGGGGGATTCTATATAAAGGAAACCACGTTTCCGTGATAAAAAACTGATTTCCTTTAGAATGTGCAGTTCACTAGGTGACAATTTTTAATGTGTTTTTAATAAACTGATTGTGGAAAGAAATAATTTTGCTTTATAGTGAATATTCCCCCTGGTGTACTTCTTAAAATTGAGTTCTGTATTCAAGAACAAACTTGAGTTAAGCAGAGTAACACCTCTGTAACCTGGCTATAAAGCTGTGTTTATGGCAGGACTTATTTATTTGAAAATACAAAATAAACAGGCATTTGGGTAATTATTGTGCTGCAATGTTGTAATGCAGGGGATCAGCCATGCCACTCCTAAGCCATTCAGCGCTATAAAACCCTCCACTTCTTTATGATGTTGTAGGTTTCTCATAATTTTATTTTTGAAAGCAGAAAAATCCTGATGAGCCAATAGATTTGTCTTCTGGTTTTTTTAGTACTATATGATAACTTCAAGTGGTTTAATAAGTTTTGTCCTTAATGAGTCTTGAAAGTCTTTTGTTACAGTTGCTTTTAAAAATTACTCATGTAAAATATGAAGTTTTATTGCTTAGAATAGTTGCAAGTTTTTTAATAATTCTGCATCACTGCATGCATTTTATCACATTGTATATGACTAGAGAGTGATTTCTGTTTCCTTAAAATGCACAAGCTTGTCATTGAAATGTGTAAAACTTCCTCAATGGATAAATATGTATCCATGAAAACATAGTATCTATGTTACTCTGGAGGAGTAGTGACATGGTCAGGAGCTCCATTCTTCTGACATTCTTTTATGACGTTGCTCAATGAATCGTAGACAAATGACACTGTCTCTGATTATTCTTCTCTTGGATTTAAAAAATAGAGTGAGAAAATACATGAAGTGCAGGGGATTTTGAAAGGACATTTAACTGTGGACCAGTGAGAAGTCACCAGTGATTAGTTCAGCTGTTAGTAATAACACTGTTTAATATTATCTTCTGTAAGTAGTAAAGGAAGGCTTGTTGTACTAATTATTAGCACATTCCTACAATACCAACATCTCATTTAATTTATGCAGTTGTTATTAGTTACCTTTTTTATGTAAAAAAGAGAAGACATCACCATTTTCTCTGTTAATAGTCTCAAATGCTTTCTATTTCAGAAAAAAAAACCTATATCCTTTAACAGCTAGAACTTCTAGTGGTTGTTCCTTAATTAAGATATTGATCATCTGCATTTATATGTTTGAATCTTTGTTTTATTTTGGTATTTGAAAACCCAGAAATCCTTTGCTGTGTTTCTTTTTTAGGAGCAGAGTGTGAAGACCTTATAGAAGAGTTGCTATATTGCCTCATCCAGCTCATTGTTGAAATTCCCCTCTTGTAAGTAGGCTTTTTTTTTTACTTAGTCTTCTTTTATAAACTGAGCATTTGAGAAACTATGGAACTTGTAGTAATGGGTTTTTAATGTTTAAATAGTTGTATTTGAATGTTCCATGTGATGGAGCAGTACAGATAATGATAAGCTGCTGCCAGTGTCAGCCCTGAATATTCTGTTGGAAGAAGTACATAATGAACGTCTCGCACCCAGTTCAAACCATCAACAGAAGTTATTCCATTTGTTTCAGGTACCCCTGTCAGCACACAGACAGTAACTGGTGGAAATGGTTGTGCTCATGGTACAGGGGAAGGTACAGTGGAGGTGTCACTTCAGCTCTGGGGTATGCAGTAAGGTGAAAACTAAAGTTCTTCTGCAGTTCTGTGGGGGTTTAAATTGAAAATAAATCATACTGTGCTATTTAATACTGATTTATAAAATTTCAGTGAATTGATGTCTGAAGAAGGGACAAGAGAAATTAATAAGTGAAATGTTTCTGTAGATCTCCAGATTTGTTTACATGGCATTTTTTTCATGCATCTGTTGTATTTGAGAAATGTTGATTCCACATCTTGTTGGGAAATGTGTCATAAAACATACTTCAGTGTTTTATGTGGGAGAGCATGCTTTGTTCTTTGGAAAAAAAAAGTGTTCTTTCACTTTTGTGGAAGTGTTCTGATGAGTTTTGACTATTTTCCCCATGATAAACTTTACTAAAGGTGGAGTGAGCAGTGTCTTTAGTGTTAAATTTCATTGTAGTCTGTGTCTAAAATGTAGCGGCCCAGCTGAAGCATGGCAGCTTTGGAGGAGTTTCAGATTGTCTGTTACAGTGTAGTATAGAGCTCTGCTATCTCATGGCTGGGATTGTTCTTTTGGTTGGAAAACTGACAAAGATGCAATGTTTTTTGAGACATTGCTGTCATTAAATGCAGCTCTGTCAGCGTTAACGCGAGGGATTTGTGTAGGTAGAGTGTAATGAATTAGTGGTGTGATTCAAAGTGTCATTCCACAGAGCTTGTCAGGACTTCCTGGAACGCATACATGCTTTGTTTGGAGCAGATTAGAGGAAGCACAAAGGGCTGAGAGGACTGTGATATACGGGCAAGTTCATAAATCCTGCAGGGTTTTATTTTTCTTTCTTGGAAGTACCCGTGTGTAGTCCAGTATCCTTCATAATGCCTTTCCAGCAGGAGAAAATAAGCCAGCATGATAGTTCCTCACCCACTTCCACAACTGAAGCTCTCAGCAGCTCTGTTTCTGTGTGAATCTGGTTGCTGCAAGTGGAAGCAGCTGCTGGAAGCACTTAGATTACAATAAAATCTAATGCTAAAATGTCTTGTTTAAAAGGAAGATTATAAAGCCTGTCCATAATTTAATATTCAGCTATATCAAAAACTTACATTTCATAAGAGATAAAGTGGAAGATTTTTGATTTGTGGTTATTTTCTTTTTTGTGAAATAAGTTTTTTTAGCTAAACTTCTGAAACAACATGTTGCTGATTGCTATTAAATGCTAACACTTACATATGTATTACTGTCTTGTTTATCACTAGAGTATGTTTAATAGTGTGATAATGCCTTAACTAAGAATTTTGTTCCCATACATGGAAAGGGAAATAGGTAGGGGAAAGGACATTCTGGAGATCTTGTATTCTCTAATACACAGTCCAACTATGTAAGGTGTTATGATGTATTACTTTATTATTAACTTTGTTCAAGAGAGTGATCAGGATTGCTTTCATATGAGTGTACTTCTTGCTTCCCTCTCTCTCCCTGATGAGTTATCACTAGAGATTCTTTCCTGTTTTGTTTCAAGGGACTAGTCCATTTTTGTCTTTAGCTAGAATGAATCAAGAGAGCTGCAAGCCTAGTATGTGAATTTGGGGAAGGAATAGATTGAGTGGAATAGATGAAATATTCAAACTTGTAATGATCTCTGTGTCAGAACTCAGGATCACCTGTGAGAGAACAGACAGTTTTGGCAGCTTGCAATGGCACTGTAACAGAATGTCTGTCTGTAAAGATACTATCAAAGATTAATTTTTTTTGGTGACAGACCATTAAAATCTCCATGCTGAGCTAGTCTTCAAAGTATCTTTCAGAACAGCAAAGATTTTGTTAAGAGCATTCAATAGCCTTAACAGAGGATTTTGACAATTAGTGTGTCCCTTGGGTTCTGCCGATGCAGTTTGGTGAAAGGGTGGATACAGCTGGCAGGTGCTGTCTGAATATATTGCTTGCCTGCACCCCAGTTAAAGCTTGTATTTTTCTCCTTCACTGAAACTGTAACATTATTTTTAAAGCGTGGAGGGCCATTTCCATGTTCAGAATGCAGGAACACAGGTACCTGTGCAGCTGTTTTGCACTCCTTCCTTTTGAGCTTGTTCTGAATGTCACTTCAGGTGCTTGGGATACCTGTGTGTGGTATTTTGCAGGCAGGTACATAGTTGTTCCAGACTGGTTGGAGAGCAGCCCTAATGAGAAGGATTTTGGTATATCCTGGTTATACCCCAGAAGTTGTGAGAGGCTGGACATGCCCCAGCCATGTGCACAAGGACCCAGAAACCTTCTGTGCCCTGGGCTGATCCCCCAGCATGGGCAGCAGGGCAGGGGGGATCCTGCCCCTGTGCCCCTGGGCTCAGGTGAGAGCCCACCTGCAGAGCTGCCCCAGCCCTGGCTCCAGCAACACAAGGAGCTGGAGCTGCTGCAGCCAGTGCAGAGGAGGCCACGGAGCTGCTGCCAGGGCTGGAGCCCCTCTGCTCTGGAGCCAGCCTGGCACAGCTGGGGCTGCTCAGCTGCACAAGAGAAGGCTCCAGGGACACCTCAGAGCCCCTGCCAGGGCCTCCAGGGGCTGCAGCAGAGCTGCCCAGGGACTGGGGACAAGGCCTGCAGGGACAGCAGCCAGGCAATGGCTCCCACTGCCAGAGGGCAGGCACAGATTTTGGGCTCTTGGCAATTAGGAATTGCTGGCTGGGAGGGTGGGTAGGCCCTGGCCCAGGGTGCCCAGAGCAGCTGTGGCTGCCCCTGGATCCCAGGGAGTGCCCAGGGCCAGGCTGGATGGGACTTGGAGCAGCCTGGGACAGTGGGAGGTGTCCCTGCACATGGCAGGGGGCGGACTGGATGGGCTTTAATGTCCCTTCCAACACAGACCATTCTGGGATTCTAAATGTAAGAAGTCTGGGCTTGGCAGGGACACTGAATTCATGAAGGCTCCAGTCTTTTCTTGGGTGTGGGCAGATGTCACTCACCTCTGAGCTTGCTCTGGTTATCAGCCTTGGCAGAATAAGCTCGTTTATGTGTACAAAACAACCTACGGTATACTTGGAAATTGCAGGTGGACTGTATTTCTCAAAATTAGTAAGTAAGGTGTGGGATGTGGAAGAAGCTAAATGTCAGATCTCTGTCCCTTATTATGAAGCATAACTTTTTTTTTGTTGTTAGGAAAGGCTGCAGAGCCTTTCTGGGGGGCAGAGCATTTCTGAAGTGTCTCAGTTTTTTACACGGAATTTAAGAAAATCTTTCTCAAAGTTAGTTTGTATTGGAAAAAGCAAATGTGCTTTAAGGCAGAAATAGGTTGCAATAGGGACTCTGGGACTCTGCAACATTGTGGTGCTGTGTCTGAGAGTTATTAAAAATATCTTGAATTACCTTTCTGAAAAACAGGCTGTGCTGCATTGTACAAAATGCCAGGGATAAAGGTTTCAGGTTTAATTTTATAGGAAATACAGTTTTCATCAATTAGACTTGTGCAGTCCCTTATAACCCTTGTGTTACCATATGTTGATGTTTGATTTATGGTTCCCTTGGGTGTGCTATGGATACTCTGCTTTTTCTTTGGTTTTGCTAATGTTAGCACTCAAGAGTGTACACTAATGATTCGAACTGCATAGTCGGCAAAAAGATACAATGTTAGTATTTAATTGTATGATTGCTATGTAGAAACTATTGCTAACATTTTGTTGCAGGATGGAACTCCCAAAGCTTTAAATTATAAAGGCTTCTTTCAGCAGCTTGTTAAGAGCTGGTATCCATAACTGAACATCTGGTTGTTATCAGTGCATTTTCACTTCATTAAAAACTATAAATGCATGTGGAGGAAAAATGAAATACTCTGATCTAGTTACATCACTCCTAAGTAGCACCCTGTGGTGCCAGTACAAGTTAGCTGATATTTCTATTACATTCCCTTATTTTCTCTAGTTATAGTTGTTTTAGGGTGCAGTCTTAGTTGTTTGGAAATGTTGACGATGTTGACAAAATTTAAATGTTGACAAAGTTTTGACTCATTTAGGGATGCTCGCTGCATTTTATGGGAGCCTAAAAGTCGTATGTAGGAGGAGGAAAGGCAATATAATTGATTATAAAACTCTACAAAGTAACTGCAGTGTAGGAAAAGTGCCATGTACAGATGATTAGAAGTGTTTAGGCTTTCTTTTTTGCCAGCTGTGAGTAGCAAAGAGATTAAGAAATGTTTTCTGTTCTAGCTCATGAGTGCCATATTTTAATTATTTTTGTTACTTTCAAAAGAATAGGTCAGAATAGTTCTTTATAGAAAGAGTCTATTCAAGGAATTTTTATCAAGATTGTAGTAGCTCCATTATTTGGAAAACATGTGATTTTGCATTTTTGGCAACTTTGTCTAATCATCAAAGGCAAACTTCCATCTGTTGAAACTGAGGTTGAAGGTAGCAAAAATATCCGAACTGAGAGAGATTTGTGTTGCTTCACTTTGAAGAGCCTCTAAGTTTAAGACTATTGTGCTCTGTTTCGGAGAGAGCTGATTCATATAAAGGGAGTTTTATTTGCTGCTGCATCTTGGGGTGGTAGGAGAACCTTTATCTGTATCACATATTCTTACTCTGTTCTAGTTTAGTTTTTATTTTAGACTTAGATCAGTATTTTTCTGTGACCTGTTCTATCTGTTCACTAGGTGTGCTTTAATTTGTAACAAAATTCCTCACCTCAAAGCACAGTATCAGAGGTCTGTACAGTTTTTCATACATTATGCTGTGTATCATATTCCTAATAATCTGCTTTCATATATGGTTTTCTGCCCTCTTTTCACAAAAGACGATGGGTCTTTGGAAAACCTCTGTTAGCAGGTATTTGAGTCTCAACAGCAAAAACAGAGAGGGACTGTGGAGCAGGTTCTCTTTTACTTAGGCTGCATCACTGATGTGATTCCTGTGGTCTGGCTCTGTGTAGAACTCTCTGATGGTCTAATGTAGTTGTTTGATCACCTGGGTCATCTCCTCTTCCCTGGAAGAGGAAGATGGAAGCTACACCTGGGAGTCTCTGCAGCTGTCCATTTCTATAGGAATTTGGGCTGCTCTCTTGTGTTCTGTTGTTTGAAAT